CCACACTATACATCAACGAGAACGGACCAGGAGTGAGGAGAACACAGGGTTTAAATACACTAGAACAGACTAGGGGAACAAGGCACAGCTGGGGCAAAATTAAACAAACACAGGTGAAGGGACTGAATACAAACGAGGAGCGGGAAACTAGAAACAGGACTGAACCAAATACACAAAGAATGGGGGACCACAGGACACACATGTAACAATAATAAGTATGTTGAACATTTTCGAGTGGTCATGCGCAGTTCTACCAGTAGGTGGAGCCGATTTGAAAACGTAATACCATTATTTTGGATGAGGAAAGCACATGGAAAGGTGAGTCAGTGCTTTTTATGTCTTATTTTAATGTCTGAATTGCTTAATATACACAATTGACCGTGTAATAAATGAAACAGATTAAACAAACGTCTCGGTTACGGATGTAACCCTCGTTCCCTGAGTAGGGAACGGAGACGTTACGTCAGAAGTGACGGAGAATGGGGGTTTCGCATGAAAGCCAAACCTCTTCGAGTATTTAACAACGAGCCAATGGCATGAAAATGCCTTGGGGCTGCGGAATTTGCATAGCGTATCTCCACCCCACGCAGTGGGAATAAAAGGAGGAAGTGAACGCAACCGCAGTATTTCTTCGCTGAGGAGCCAAGACTGAACTCCGGCGTCTACCTAGTGATACAGCTGAAGTGGCAGGGAGACTTAACTTCGAAAATGCGTTTGGCTGTGAGCATTTTGAACGGTAGTCGATGGAGAGTACGGTTCAAAATGTGCAGATCCAGGATCGGTCGTAACCCACCGGTCTTCTTGGGGACAATGAAGTAGGGGCTGTAAAACCCGGACCTCATCTCGGCTGACCCAGCGGGACAGCCCGGGAAGCTCTAGCCAAGCTTCCAGGAAGTGTACCAGCGGGGTCATGCGAACCACAGACGCCTCGCTGCTGAAGTAGGGGCTGTAAAACCCGGACCTCATCTCGGCTGACCCAGCGGGACAGCCCGGGAAGCTCTAGCCAAGCTTCCAGGAAGTGTACCAGCGGGGTCATGCGAACCACAGACGTCCCCCCGGAGGGGCAGCGAGGCGGGTCGACTGGCATGCGCGCAGGATGATGTCAAGTCTTTCTTTAAACAACTCAGGGTACTGCCCACCCGTGGGTGAGCAGCGGGGAGCTGAGAACAAAAGATTCTCCCCCGGCCCTCCACCGGGGGAAGGAGGGGGCCTGCTACCGCCTCCTGGGAAAAACTCGGCTTCATCACTGAGCAGCCCGTCTCAGGAACGTCACTTTGCCTGGCGTTTAGCGGGGTGTGCGGCCTGAGGGGGCTGTGACGCCTGCCTGCGGCCTCCTCCGCGCCACGGCCCGGGTGAAGGCTGCTGCTGGGGCCGCGTGGGAGGGAGGGGAGCCGCAGGGGGGCGTCCTCGGCGGCGAGCAGAAGGAGGTGTCTGCACCGACGGCTGGGTGGAGGCAGCAGCTGGCCGTCGGGGCAGAATATGTTTGATCGCCTCCGTCTGCTTCTGGGCAGTCGAGAACTGCTGGGCAAAGTCCTCGACTGCACCGCCGAAAAGGCCAACCTGGGATAGCGGGGCGTCGAGCAGACGAGTCCGTTAGGCATCCCGTGTATCTGCCAGGTTAAGCCAGAGATGGCGCTCCTGGACCACGCTAGTGGCCATCACCTGACCAACGGAGCGAGCAGCCACCTTCGTTGCCCGGAGAGCAAGGTCTGTGGCCGCTCGCAGTTCGTTAAATGCCGATTGGTCAGTCCCGCCCTCGTGCATATCTCTGAGCAGTTTGACTTGGAAAACCTGCAAAGTGCTCATCGCATGCAGGGCGGTGGCCGCCTGTCCCGGCGCTCTATAGGAACGCGCCGCCATAGCAGACGAGAACCTACAGGCTTTGGATGGGTGCTTAGGAGGACCACGGGAGGAGGCGCTCTGTGGACACAGCTGCATCACGACAGAGCGCTCCACCGGGGGCATCCCAGTGTACCCACGAGCGGCCCCACCATCGAGGGGAGGAAAGGCGGGGGAGGCTAGAGCGCGCTCTCGGGAGGACAAAGGAGCCTTCCAAGTGCGCGTCAGCTCCGCATGCAGCTCGGGGAAAAAAGGTATTGGGGCCGGCTGTGGCCTTGCGGCGGCAGCCTTGCCCAAAAACCAATTATCCATCCGTGAGAGATCGGGGCAGGGCGGAGGGTTCCACTCTAACCCGATACTCACGGCGGCCCGAGATAGCATGGCCGTCAACTCGGGATCAGACACGGGCAACGCTGGCACTCCCGAGGGAGGCAACACAGCCTTATCCTCATCTCCCGAGGAATCCAGCCCGCCTTGTGATGCCGCGATCGACATCGCATCATCATCTGGAGCGCCGAACGAAACAGACGGTACCTGCGAAGAGGCAGACGGCTGATTCGAACTGGCGCTCGCTGGCTCTACCACTGGAGCGGGGGTGTGGCCCGAGGAACTAGCGTCGGGGCTTTGTTCCACACCGTCACCGTCAAATCACCCTGGCCGCGAGTCGAAGAGCTTCTCGTGGAAGAAGCAGATCGAGTAGCGGGGACGGGGACTCTCACTTTTGTCAGATCATTGAGTCTAGATCTCAGTGTAGAGATGGTCATATTCCCACAGAAGGAACATAAGTCATCCACAAACGCTGCTGCAGCATGCTGAATGCCCAGGCATACAGAGCAGCGATCGTGACCATCAGAAGATGACATGAATCGACCGCACCCAGAAGAACACGGGCGAGACATCTTTAAAAAGACGTGCCACGTGCAGCTCTTTCAATGAAAGGAGGAAATTCACTCTTTCAGCGCTGAGCCGACCAGGGAGAAGCGCAAAGTCTGGCAGACCACTGCTCAGATCGCAGGCGATGCAGAATCTCGCTGGGTACCGCCGTCACACCAACACTGAAGAGGATGCTTGTCTCGAAGAGTCTTTGGATCAGTGAGAATGGCTTTAGGAGTGAAGAGGTCTCTTGGCTCCGAAGCGAAAACATACTGCGGTTGCGTTCACTTCCTCCTTTTATACCCACTGCGTGGGCCGGAGATACGCTATGCAAATTCCGCAGCCCCAAGGCATTTTCATGCCATTGGCTCGTTGTTAAATACTCGAAGAGGATTGGCTTTCATGCGAAACCCCCATTCTCCGTCACTTCTGACGTAACTCGAAGTGACTACGAAAGGGAACTAGCGTTACACATGAACATTGGATGTGTTATTTTAATCAAATTCTTGGATTGTGTTGGATTGTGCTAATCGAAATGAGCAGTCTAGCATTTGCAAATCGGTAGCCTATTTGTTAGGTCCATGCTTTCAATCAAGGAACATTTTTATGTTTTATTTGTTTTTATTGTGAGTATAATGTTAGAAAAAAACTTTACTGATTTATATTTTAATGTTGCAATAATTATGTAGAAATATAGCAATGCTAAAATTAATATATTTTAACTTTTGGATTACTTCAAATTAAGGGTGTGGGATTAATTTATCCACAATCTGTTTTGAAAAAATATAGTAGTGTTGTGCTATAGCAAAAATCATTTTCAGTTCTGGCGCCACAGTCTCAACATTGGCTATAGGCCTATACTGTAACGTTACAACTCGACGTGCATTTACATCAGATGTTAACACACGGGAGTTACACTCACGGGACACTGCAATTCACAAGCTTTAAAGTCCCCGTGAAATCAAAATTGAACCTATTTACTTTGTTAGCGCATATTACTAGTCTTGTGGTGAACAATTAATCCGTGCAAGTGAATATATATTAAAAAAATGTTTTACCTTAGTAATCTTTAATCAAAATCTGAAAAGTTACTTCCGGTCTGGAACGGTTTCTTTTTTTGATGACGTAGGTTTCACAGTTTGGGTGGGGAAACGCTTAACCACTCCCCTCAAACCGTTAGTTTGCTATGAGCGAGAGATGGAGAGGAGGAGCGCTAGAGTAAAACCCTGCCCTCTGTTCAATATTCCGTTTCACTTGGAAATACGTCACAGCACTGGAGAAAAATCGTTTGCAGCTTCCGGTTCACGGGGACTTTAATTATTTGCTTGTGCTTTAAAGCCTTGCCGCTTAAACGGTTAATTTGCGTGCTGTTCTGAAATGGGCGCATGTCATTTTCTGAGTGCATCAACCACAGTGCCTGATTACTAAACTTTATATTTCGCGTCTAATACTGTGGAATATACACAATGTTTTCATGAACATAGTTGGTTATGTCTAAAGTAAAAGTGAACTTAATTTAATCGGATGCGTTTATGTATTTTAGAAGCGTGCAGGTCTTTAATCGACAGCAGTCTAATAATGAAGGGCATAATGCGCCCTTTTCTTAAAGGGATAGTTCACCCCAAAATTAAAATGTGTCATCATTAACTAAATTTCATTTTGTTCCTTTATTAATTTCTTTCTTGTGCTGAACACAAAATAACATATTTTGAAGAATGCGTGTAACCAAACAGTTGATGACCCTATAGACTTCCATAGGATGATATGGAAGTCAATGGGGACCATCAACTGTTTGGTTACCCACATTCTTCAAAATAACTTTTAATTTGCAACAGAAGATTACATGATGAGACAACTGTTTTTTGGGAGAACTTTTAATGTTAATAAAACAAAAGTCACTGAAAATCACTCACTTAAATACAGTGGCTTTAATAAGAATAAATTATTAATGTATACTGTCAAGCCAATTTATAGGGTTTATCTTATTTATATATTATGTTGTGTATATGTAACGTGTATCTTTATTGCTATTTCTTTATTAACAAAGTTTAAACAATTACTAAGCTTTTTATTATCATTAATTTTGGCCTAAAATGTCTGCTATTCTATTTTGTTTTTAGCTTTGTTTTTTGAAAATATGGAAATTTGTTTGGCTGTAATGCAAAACAGTAAAACCAACATGAAAAGAATTGTGATATCATATTTTGCCATATCGCCCACCCCACACTTTAAATGTTTGAACACTATTGATTTATAAATTAAAATACAAAGCTGTATATTTAAAAAGTGTGTATTTTAATATTATTTTCTTCATTTGCAGAGCTTGCTTTGTGAGATGAGACATGCAAAGGAAATGTAAGTACTGTTTTTCCCCCTATGAAAATAGAGCTCTCCTATTGAAGCATTATCGTATAAAACATGGAAGCTACACCAGAACTACACCATTTCCATGTCTTCACACAGACTGTTTGTGTTCATTTAAGTCATAAATATATCTGATATATACTGTATATATCTGAAGAATAGAGGTACATTTGGGATACTACGAGATTGAGTAAATAAGGCAATTTTCAAGTATCCCTATAACGCAGAAACCAAAAGCCTAATAATAGATTTAACATTGTTATTTTTCCTTTTACAGATCAATGCAGAGTTTATTCGCATCACAAGCAAAAACCTCAAGCAAGAATTTTTTACAGCACTTGATCAACATACAGCTCCATTTCTGGCAGTTGGAAAAAAAAACTTTCTGAATTTGTGGTAAGCTTGTCTATGCTTATTTCTTAAACTAAATTTTGTAACTGTTATTTCATAAAATTTAATTCTATGTTATAAAACTTTTTTCAGAGCAGCCATCACATTTTAAAGTAGTTTATTCCGACTAATTTTAAATTTAATTTGGTTTTCCAGGGCACTGACATCACTGCAAATCGCACAGCAGTTCTTTGTGGACTTCCCCTCATTTTTGGAGAAGACACCTCAGACTTTTTCAAAACAATATTGGCAAGTACCATTCTCTGTATATTTCTCTCTAAACTAATCCCCCACACATGCATCACATATAGCCATTCAATTATTCTTCATTCAACTATCCCAGAAACAGACCAGACACAAACTCTTCAAATGTAATTGTACATTTTCTTATGTGTTTGTTCTGCCATCATTGCACTGGACTTTCAATAGAGGGACATAAAATGCTTAATGGTTAAAAATATTTGTACTTGTGTTTCAAAGAATATCCAAACTTACAGGTTTGTTATGAGATGTGGGAGAGTAAATTATGACAGATTTTTCAGTTTAGTGGCTATCATGTTACTATCCCTTTAAAGGGTTAGTTCACCCAAAAATGAAAATTAAGTCATTAATTACTCACCCCCATGCTGTACCAACCCCGTAAGACCTTTGTTCATCTTCGGAGCACAAATGAAGATATTTTTTATTAAATTTGAGAGGTGGATCACTGCTACATAGGCACTCTAAGGGATCGAAACTTGAGGGCCCAGAAGGTCAATGAAGAAAATGTTTAAATATTCCATGACTACAGTGGCTCAAGTATAAGTTTATCAAGCAACGAGAATACTTTTTGTGCGAAAAAACAAACAAATATAATGACTTTATTCGACTATTCCTTTTCTTCCTTGTAGGCCTGAAACAAGAGATAAAGAGATTTCCATGACGCATGTGTGCGAGAAATCTTTTTAAGTCTTGTTTCAGGCCCAGAAGGAAGAAAAGGAATAGTCGAATAAAGTCGTTATTTTAGTTTTATTTCCCCACAAAAAGTATTCTCGTCGTTTGATAAACTTATAGTTGAGCCACTGTCGTCACATGGAATATTTAAACATTTTCTTCAATGACTTTCTGGGCCGTCAAGTGTCTATCCCTTAGGCAGCCTATGTGGTAGTGATCCACCTCTCAAATTTAATAAAAAATATCTTCTTTTGTGTTCCGAAGATGAACAAAGGTCTTACAGGGTTGGTACAGCATGGGGGTGAGTAATTAATGACTTAATTTTCATTTTTGGGTGAACTAACCCTTTGAGTTTGTGGTTGTACAAAATTTCTAAAATACACAAAACATTTATAAATTGTCACTTGTCAACCTTGGTTAAAAATGTTTTTCTTGTTTTATAACAGTTGTATTGTTAAATGCTTTTGTTTAACATATTTTTACATTGCAACTTAAGTGTCAATTTTCCTGCATTACCCTAATGTTGATGCTTTTTAGTTGCATTTGCACTGCACATTTGAATTGCTTTAGGGTTAACAAGAATAACAATGTGTTTTTTGTGAATAAAATTGTTTGTTACATTAACAAAAAACTGTTTGGGGTATCTGAATGACATTGTTTAGTACACTGTTGTGCATAAGGACAATTGATGAGTAATAAATAATGTTTTACCCGAGTTCAGTTTTGTCTTTTTGTCTCAACTTAATTTGTTTAGTTCAGCTTACTTCAAAATTTTAAGGCAATCGGTTTCCTAATTTTTTCCTAGTAATGTGAACTCTAATAAGACGTTAACACAACTAATAATTTTGAGTCAACTTTACTTGAGTATACTTGATTTACAAGTTGTCTATACAAATGCTATTAAGTTGCGCCAACTAAAAATTAATACAATACTTTACTTGGAAAATTTAAGGCAATCGGTTTCCTCACTTTTTCTAAGTAAAGTCAACTTGTTACATTTTACGTGTACGGATCCGTACCACCGAGGAACTTGGATCTTGCTCAAGCCAGATAGCTCCTCTTCCCAAGCCATCCAACTTCTCTTAATGCCTTCAGGAATATCTGGATCATCCCATCCACGCCCAGGTTTGATCCACAACTGCTGGAGCATGATCTTAGCACGTGTAGGGAAAAATAAACCCCAACGGGTCATATTGTCGAGCAAGGATCCACAGGTCGGTGCTTATACCCCAAAGTATCCTGTAAACAGTGCCAGCTCACATGGATCATTACAATCATGACTCAGCCATAAGTCGGTTTGCAGGGAACGTGCTTCATCTGGTAAGTGGTCAACCACGGAGGCATAATTACTACTCCATTGTCTGATATTAAAGCCTCCTTCACTCAGTGCAGAACATAGTTTCAAGATCATTTCCTTTGCGTCGTCAATGGTAGGCAAACTTTGCAAGCAGTTATCGACATAGAATGAATGAAGGACTGAATCTTGAACTTCAGGATAGGTAGTTGAGATTCTTTTTGCATGTCTTTGAAGAGCATAAATGGCACAGCAGGGACTTGATGTAGTACCAAATGGTAAAACTTTCCATTCATAAACATCCACTGGGGCATTTCTGGACATATTTCTCCACAGAAACCGTAACAATGGCCTATCTGAAGGTAGTAATCGAACTTGATGAAACATGGCGCGGATATCACCACTGATTGCCACTTGATGTTCTCTAAAACGGAGAAGGACTCCGAGAAGAGAAGAACCCAAGGTCGGGCCAGATAACAAATATGAATTCAGGCTTTCACCGTTATATTGATAGGAACAATCAAATACTAAACGGTGTTTCCCATTATGTTCAACTAGATGATGGGGTACATACCAAGATTCATCAGTGGAAGTCATTGCCTTTGGGTTCAGTTTCTTCACATAGCCAGATTCCACTAGCTTTTGAATCTCCTCCTCATATATTGCTGCACGCACTGGATTCTTTGCAATCTGGCGTTCGGTACGACGCAATGCTGGCATTACTGATTGCTGCAGAACTGAATGAATCTGGGTGCATGTTTGGCTCGAAGTAAAGGAGTGGCATATCTTACAACACCATTCATTTCCAGGCATTCGGTTCTCTGCTCCAGACACTCAAGAGCGTATTGGTCTTGCTTTGACCGAAAAACTGCCTGATACGGAAGAACATCGACTTGCCACAATCTTTCTACATCCCTCTGTAACTGATCTTTGGTGGAAGTAGCCAAGAAGTGGCACTGAGAGATAGAATCAGTCTCGGGAATCAAGGAAGTGGGACCCCGCAGTACCCATCCCAGACGAGTATGTAATGCAATAGGACTTCCAGGAGGACCAAATGTTACTTTTTCTGTAGAGCATAACAAATGAGGATGATCTGCTCCCACTAACAACAGGGGCTTACATCTACCGACGTTTAAAGGAACACTCCGACTTTTTGGGACTTTAGCCTATTCACCTTATCCCCCAGAGTTAGATAAGTCCATACATACCTTTTTCATCTCCGTGCGTGCTATAAGTCTGTTTGACGCACCCACCGCTAGCCTAGCTTAGCACAAAGACTGGATGTGAATGGTTGCAGCTTTCATACTAATCCAAATGATTGACAAAATAACGCAAACGTTTTCCTATTAACATGTTGTGGTTTGTATAGTCACAGGCTGTACAAATATCAAGGCCATATGAGACACAGACATCTTTTAACCGTATAAATACTATATTTTCTGAAGGCGAAGCACTGCTACTGGGGCAGAGTGATAACCATCACCTGAGACGCACCGTGACGAGGAGCAGAGAGTTCGCTCAGTGTTGGAGTAAAGAGTCAGCAATTACTAACGTTAGATAGAAAAGCATAGTTTATCATGGGTGTTTACTTTATTGCATGAGCTGTGACAATAAACAGGGGAGACCAGGTAATACCATTGAATTCGATAGGTGATGTAGATGGATCAACATAATGTCGGTTTGAATCATGTTGTCTTAGGCATTCACCCAATTCCTGAACAAGAGATACTCTAGAATTATCATCCTATTGATTATGTTCAACAACAGGAGATGTTGCCTTAGAACTCTGGTTGGAACTGATCGAAAAGGAAGAATTTTGACTTCTTATCTGCATTGTTCTCATACTCTGGCTCAGTTCTGACAACATTCCTTTTATTTGCTGTACGTCACAAGCAAGATCCCTCACCTCAGCCCGAGTCTCAGCTATGGCAGCTCCCTGTGATACTTCTAGAAGCACAGAATCAGACGTAGTTTGTCCTTGTGGACAAGATGGTTTCCTTGACTGAATCAAATAATCTCGATGCCATCTGGGGGGGGGGGGGGGGGTTGATATCCGTTTAGGTCTCGTAGAATCATTTTGTTCTATCCTAGCAGCCTCTCCGGCTCGAAGGACCATGTACATATCTGATAAAAACTTTAGTTCAGGAAATGTGCTACCAGGATGGTGTGTCCATTAAAACACAGGGGTCCAATACTCAGTCCACTTCCAGGCCACAGGGTGAATTGGAATCAGATAGAGTTGTATGGTTTATTGTCAGGAACACATAAACTCTTCAAAGGCTCTCATTAGGAGAGAAAGAAAGGACAATCTGTTTCCATTGCATGTGCCACACACAAACACACCAAACAATAGTACCTTATCATTCATTAAGTGCACCTGAGGAGACTTAGCTCCTCCCATGATTGGCTATGTCATGTGATCCATAGGAATTCTCAACAAAAATGGTTTGATATGAGGTGTGTATACTGTATGAGACGTCCCGTACATGACTTGACCATTGTTTTTTTCTACTTATTATCGTACTTATCGGACCGTTCTCATTTTGTCTGTTTAAATGGAAAAAAAAACAAAGATAACGTCAGTAGACTATGGAGTACCGCAAGGATCGGTTTTAGGCCCTCTGCTATTCTCAATATATATGCTGCCACTTGGTAATATTATAAGAAAACATGGAATTAATTTCCACTGTTACGCTGACGACACTCAATTATATATTTCATCACGACCAGATGAAAACACTAACTCATCTAAAATGACAGTGTCTCAAAGATATAAAATGCTGGATGACGCGTAATTTCCTGCTATTAAATTCAGATAAAACGGAGGTATTACTTATTGGTCCAAAAAACTACTCACAAAACCTCTCACAATACAACTTTAATATAGACGGATGTCCTGTTACTTTATCCACTACAGTAAAAGACCTGGGTGTTATACTAGACCGCAACTTGTCTTTCGAAGATCATATTTCATATGTTACAAGAACAGCCTTTTTCCACCTTAGAAACATTGCTAAGCTACGTAACATGCTATCTGTTTCTGATGCTGAAAAATTAGTT